AAAAAAAAACACCATCTACTAATTTACGTTTCCTACGATTTCTTCTTCATCTAATATCGCTGTATGCAAGTTCTCATAAATCCTTTAAGAATTTCATTACGAAGCTTACATATCAGCAGTCAAATACTCTCAAACATCAAAGATGGAAATTCCCTAAAAACATAGGAGCCCTTTTACGGTGATTATTTCACCAGTTCAGCTGTATTTTCTTTTTTCACCTAGATTCTCATAGTCTTTGCAAAACTTTAAGTCTCTTTGGAATAATAAATCCCGCTTTATCCAAATTATTTATATTTAAGTGTTTCTTTAAGTATGCTTCGTGTAGAACAGAATTGCATTGAAAATTAGTCATCTGTCTTACTTGTAAAGCGTACTTTTTGAGAAATATACAGCCTATTGTCAGCGTTGCTCAATTCTTTTGAAAAGTAATCTAAGATCACAGAGACTGAAAATATAGGCTTCAATTACATAGAGTTGCAAGGCCCTCCATGGTGAAGATAAGCGCGAGATCCAAAAAAAATGGTAGTTTTCTTCTTTTCTAAGTTAGTATTAAAATTGAAGAAGGAGAGAATAATTTGGTAACTAGACGGTTTTACACAGATGCACCGCTTCTACGTTTTTGAAGTAAATCGCAGGATAAATAAGTTCTATGATGTTTTAACGGTTCTTTAATGTAGTGTTAGAAGCCACTAATACGATGTAACAACTAGTTAAGGTTTATCTCCGAAGTCATTCTCGACAGACCCCTAGAAAATCCAATTTTGGATTCCTCTTGCAAAAAATAGAAATGCCATGGGAACCGTTCTTTCCATTGTTATAACGATAAATCATATGAGCTTATAAAAAAGACTTCTTTTTTCACTTTGTTAATTCATTTATATACAAGCGCAAGATTGTAAACGTATACTTTATAGAGCCTGAAGACGATTTTGAACCACACATTTCTTACAGTTAATCAGAATAAATGTGTAGTTTTTTTTTGAATTTGAAAAAATTAAATGGACATTGCAGATGACCTATTCTGCAGTTAACCATTTGATTATTGTGTTTGGAGAATTACACTATGCAAAGGAAGAAACACAATCAAATTAATCAGAAAAAGTGAATACATGATGATACAGTTGCAATAATAGGTGCAGTTTAAAAAACTGTTTCTTCCATACCCGCGCAGCAGTCCCCTAAAAAAGTTGTAAACAGTTTTTCGTCTAAAAATATAGAGTTGCAAACATTGCTCAAAATACTACTTTAGCCCAAATCAGCAACACGCAAGAACGATATTTATGTAACACATATTTATCACATGATAACTGCTTGCTTTGCTTTGTTTCAGGTCGAAGTTAATAAATTAAGTCATTTATAAACACGAAGGTGTTTTCAGCAACGAGAAAAACTCTCATATCTTCCTCCATGGAAACGCTTCGACGATATGAGACAGTGTAATTAGCGTGTCAAACGCATCTAACAGTAATCCCTCTTTGTCTGAGTAAACTTACCTTGCTAGAGCTTCGTTGAAACAGGATGAATAACATTCGTCTCCCTCTCGGTGAAGTATCTTGTGTCACACTGAATATTGATAAAGCCAATCTCAAAATATCTTCAATCGCAGCATCACTAAAGATACTATACGTAGGAGGCATCAATTTTTATTTCAGCATGATTATTTTTGAGTTGCATAAGGCAATGATTTAATAAGATAAACGTCTCATTATGCGTAAAAAGAACCAAAGATGGGAAGCCAACAGAAAGTGTGAGTACAGCAAAGTATGCCATTAGGTAAAGCTCTAATTACGTGCATCGAGGTTTTTCAAGTGATGTAAGTATGCAAGCTTATAAAATGAAGTAAAATAATGAAATAATATTAGGATCTCAATTTGGAAGTTGAGAAACATAGAATATTCCAAGGTAAACAACTGTTAAAAAGGTTGAATAATTTTGTAGAAAAAGGAATTAGATAATTTCGTCGCTAAGCTGAAAAGACAATCAACTTTGACCAACTCTATTATGCACTGTAACTTGTTCTTTTGAGAATATCCAGCTGGTTGTTCGCCTTTGAGTCGCGATGAACTTGGTCGAGAGTTACCGTCGGAATATTTGCCCAGATGTCCTGCTGTGCTTCTCGCTCATTGTGGCTCTTTTCTGGAATCTATTCTGTTCTGCGATCATTTCAGCGATTTGAGATCATCGTTAATGTTGAGGATTTTCGTCGATCAAGTTTGTCGGTACGTGCCTTGCAATCTCCAATGTCGTAATTCAGCTTTTGATTCAAACCGGATGATTTACTTTACTTGTTCATTCATTCTCGTCAATGTTCCTCATTTAATTATCTTTATTCTTGCAGTTTGGATCTAACATCGAGCTTTCTCGAAGATTTGCGAACGCAGCAGCTTCAGAAGCAAGTTGAGCTGACGGCTACAGGAACAAGTGCTCCATCTGCGGCTTTGGCCCTTGGTCATCGATATGTACAGGTAACTAGGGTGGAGATAAGATTCTTACCTTATTCCAAGTAAATTTAGTCAATGCTAGAACTCGAAATCCTTTATGAAACCGATGACCTGCACGAAATGCAGATGTTTATACTTTCGCAATTAGAAATTCTCTTCGCTCAACTACCTCTACAGGTTCAAAACACCTCTGTTGTAAGTCCATCAGACGCCTGATCCTCTCAAATTGCGCTAGTAAAGTTTGAATTTAGTTGCCTCGCCCACCTGTCTATTGCTATCAAAGCAACGGAGACGACTCGTTGGAATCGCGAATTCATTCCACTATGCATTGTTATCTGCAAACGCTGCTTGTATCGATACAAAAAACTAATAGAATGGACCTAGAGATAAATAGGATACATGACATGATCAGTAATGGAACCTCTGCGGTAAGTCATTATGACCTTAATTGACAGGCGTTTGTGAAGGAATCTTCAAAAGTAGAAGCGGTTTCTTTGAACTTGGGGCAAATCAAGCTTTAGGAAGAACAAAGGGCACTCATCTTTATTTACATGCATTTACAATAACTTGAACCTCAGGTCTTTTAAAAGTTTGTTTTTTGAGCACACACATGCTCCCTATTATCGTAGCCAAAGCCGTCCCAGCTCAGTATAATTTGTAGAGATATTTTAA